GTTAATTTATCAGAGAGCGTCTTCGACTTCCAAAACTAATTTGAAATAATGATCTTGGCCTGTGAAGAGTTTGGATCTCCAGTTTAAAATTTAAAAAGATGTTAGAGTAATTTAGGATGGTGACTTTATATTGGGTATTCAGGATAAAGTCTCGTCGAATAAACGTATATCAATATTCAGAATCAAGAAATATACTTCTTATGTAATTATATATCCATCTATGTACAATAGGGGTTTTCTGAAATCCCTTTTTCAACTGTCCTACTGAACAGATTTTTATGATTGAGTTGTCATTGTAAAACTTATGATCTAGCGGAAAGGCGAATGGTAACTAACGGATGGTAGTTTGATTTTTTTAGAGTTTGCTATAAAGATTCAGTGATGCTTACCAAATTATTTCACGACCAAACAGCTGATCTTTTGGATGAATGTTTAACCACAGTCAGATTGTAAACAAGAAAAAACAGAATATTACAATTGATTTTAAATAGGCTACTTTTATAACTGTAACCTGGTAGTGATAGCTAAATCACCCTTATAACGCGACAAATATAATTTCTTCAAAATTACTAGGTTTATTTTCACCTAATAACTGCCTCAAACAAACACAATCTTTTAAAAGTGAAAGAGTTTTGTATTACCCATTTTGCCTAAGAATCGAACCATATCGAAATGGGATGGTTTCATTCTAAGAGTTTGGAGGCCTCTGGTTTTCTCACATGACGAAATCAAAAGGTTCGTTGAAAATAAATCATATAATTTCAAAAATAAACTGATATTATATCTCTGCTTTCGAAACAAAGAATATTTAGTTTTATAGCGATATTGGAAATCAAACATGAGTATGGAATCGATTTAAACAGTACAACGTTTTCTGAATTTCTGTATCACGAATCTTGCTCCCGAAATAAACTAATATTCCAACGTTTAATTAGCAAATGTGTCCAAGCAAATCAGAGAACCGAAGAGGGGGGGACAATGATAATCCAGTAACTTGGCGGCATTATCTCTTTGAAGTCCGCATTCTGAATGCAAACTAAGCACAGAGACCAATCATTTAATGGGACGCCATCTTGAGTACCTAACTTGGCTCTCGGACTTAACTTTGTACACGTGGTCAAAGGTGAAGCTGACCAAGACCTAACTCTTAGACCGGACACTCTGCTTTGCATAAAGTTTGTGTAAACTACGTCAGCTTTAAGTCGTGCTTGTGGGGCCCCCAGGGGTGTGTTACGTGAGAAATTATACACAAGTGACTCTCGATGATACGATGTTTTACATTGTTGGATTTTAGAAAAGATACCAAATGTAAATAAGAATATTAGAAAAGTTTATTGACATAACCTTGTTATGATTTTTAGACTACTAGGGCTCAAATTAATGCGATTTGAAGTTGTTATACTAGGAAACATTAATAATAAAAATATTGATTTAGTTTAAGGTGGCTGTAAACCCGGAAGATTAAATAAACACTAGTACACACAAGTACACATCAATTAACACTAATAAAGTTTAACTATTGTACATATATCTACCGATAACTAATTTATTGCAGCATTTTATTAACAAGTTGTAATTGTGTACATAATAAGAAATAAAGTAGTTTTTTCCTGTAAAATTCGTTATAAAAGAATTCTGTTAGTGTTTCTCAAGAAGCCTGTGTGACCAGAAAGTATAAAATATAATAAAAATATCCATCATATCTACCAAAATAACCCTCGTTTTAAATTGTCATCACATCGATTTTAAAACCATCATATTTAGAGGCATGTATTGATATCAATACTAAAAAATAACATATTCGTAAGATCAAATTCCCAATAAATAATAAAAAAACTTGAATCCTATTGCTTTCCATTTTAGTATGTATTTTATATTTTTGAAAATGTCTGTGATCTGTTTTCCCTCACGATCAATATTTTTCAAATCAATTAATTTTGAAATTAATCGTTAGAGGAGTTGTTATGTATGTAGATCAAATAAAGAAGCTTACTTATTTGTTTAGGATATTTTTATATATTATTTTTGTTAATTATTGCAAGACTAAAAACAGTCAACTTAAAATTGGAAAAAATGTGGTGTGTTTCAAATTTGCAGTTTTTCAAAATCGATTCCAAAGCATGAAACTACAAAAGCTTCTTACTGAAAGTACATGAACATAGTCTAATAACAATGAAACAAATATACTGAAACATATATTTACACTTATACTGTTGACTCTAAAAACGGTAATTATGTTTCAAGTGCTACACGTGTTCTTTATCTAGCCTGATCATGCCTTTAACGTTATTTCAAAAACTGTTGATCACAATCCAAGTTCTAGCCAACATTTACTTTATACTCAAAGTGACTCAGTTCATAAGCAGTCGCCCTGGGGCATGTGACTTGTACCAACAATAAGAAGCTCGGGGCGTTCATGTTTGTAGTCATATCTCTGTTACACAAACATCTCCAGATTATGAAGTTGCCACTGTTTACGTTTGCCCTTTGATCCGAGATGCTGCTAGTGTTTCTATCACGTCATTCTCAATCCCCGCCTCTTCCTCTCGACAATTCCCGCTGTCTGGAATAAACCTATTGTAGGCCATCATTCCAGAATAGAAAGTCTTCAATTGTGGTTCATTACTTTGTTGAATCTGTGAAAGCAAATCTCGTATTCATACTATCTTAATTTAAATATTTGACTATTGATACAAGTGGACGTTCCGTCCTCATGGAGTTGTCACCGTTTTCTTTTTATCAAAATAGGCATGAACTAAACTACCGACAGAATGCGCTGATTAAATTACTAATTTCTGTCGAATATGTGGTTTTTTACAAACTAAAACTGTTATAGGGTGACTTATTGTATGCATTAGCATCGTCTATATCAAGTCAACTATTTCATTGACAGCAAATAAGGTAGAAAATAGAAAGTTAGGCATAGATAAATTTGTGTTTGGCTTACAGATCTATATTCTTCTTGAACAAAATTCTGGTGACAGCTTGTCCAGATTGGATGTACACTTCGGTGTCCAAATCTCAATGCTTCAATAGATTAAATTTAAACCATTTAAGACTAGTTTCGCCGGATTTTGACAAGAGCGTCTTGTTAAACTTTTTGTGCTATTTAACTGTTTGAAAACTATTTAAACCAGAAGAATTTTTGTACAAACAAAAGATTGACCTCTGGTATTAAACCTAACAGACGTCAGTGCATTATAATCGTTGTCAACATGAAAGACGTATAAAAAAGTTTTACTATTTGTCGTTTGAATGAGAAGTTGCACTGTTCAACTTCATAGGTTCATGGAGCAAAGCCGAGGACAGAAGATATTTATATATTGTGTGTGTTTCGATGGTTGGAATTCTCTAAACAAAAGAAAGTACTACTCATTTTATTGACGTATTCTTTTTGTTTTTCAAGATTAGTTAGGGCTGTAAAACACGGGATTGAGGATTGACCACATTGCTAAGAGTCCTTGGTGATTGGCGGGATTTGAACCCGTGTCCTAAGGGAAGTATTGTAATCTAACAACGAGAATATCAGCACATTTTCGTAAAAAAATAGAACCAAAAGTCAATTAATGACCTGATGGTTCGACATACTGTTCGTGTATTATAGCATTATAGCTGTAAGCTATTTAAAAATATAACTACGAAGATTCGACGAGAAAATTCGTGGAGTTATCCCCTTAGTCTGTAGTATGGTCACATGCAACGTGTGATAATGTTACCTTTTTTGGAGAATTAGTGTAGTTATTGAAGTTCCAAGTTAGATCACTATAACTTGTGTGATAATGATACCTTTTATTTTGTAAAAAAACCTGTAGTTATTGAAGTTTCAAGTTATATCACTATAACTTGTGCAATAATGATACTTGAGCGCTGTTTGACTCGTTCAGTAAAACTATAAAGAGCCGCGTCCCCGGTAGTGGGAACAAAGTCTTGACAAAGCAACGTTTGTTTCTGTGTCATGAATGAAGTGTATGAATTGGAGACTTGCCCACATATATTTAGGTGCGGCAGCCACGCCAGAACTCCCGGCACCGCATCTGATCCCATCCAGCGTCACATCACTTCAACACTTGGAGATCACTTGCACTTCGCACTTCACTTTGTATCTTCCATTGTGCAATGCTACATGATCATATCACTTAAACATTTGGAGATCACTTGCACTTCGCACTTCGCTTTTTATCTTCCATTGTGCAATGCTACATGATCACATCACTTCAACACCTCACTTGCACTTCGCACTTCACTTTGTATCTTCCATTGTGCAATGCAACATGATCACATCACTTCAACACCGAGATATCACTTGCACTTCGCACTTCACTTTGTATCTTCCATTGTGCAATGCAACATGATCACATCACTTCAACACCGAGATATCACTTGCACTTCACACTTCACTTTGTATCTTCCATTGTGCAATGCAACATGATCATATCACTTAAACACTTGGAGATCACTTGCACTTCGCACTTCACTTTGTATCTTCCATTGTACAATGTAACATGATCATATCACTTGAACACTTTGGAGATCACTTGCATTTCGCACTTCACTTCGTATCTTCCATTGTGTAATGCAACATGATTGCATCACTTAACACTTTCGAAACGATCACTTAATTAAACACATTACTTTAACACGTTCGACCTCTTGCCGTGTACAAAGAAGAATTTATATAGATAGGTAAAAATATTGGAGGGATAATAAATGAAGGTCCGGTACTCTGATATTATACCGACCACACACCTAATAATTATAACATAACCTAACCTAACCTAAGGGTGGACTATGTGAGAGGTTAGGTTACGTTAGGTTAGAAAGATTTTAATGTTTAAACCAATAAGTCTTATTTGGAAGTCGATTTATCGGTACCTATAATACCAAAGTAAGTAAGAGAATAAGTTTTTTTTATATTTCATGTAGACCTTGACCCTGACATCATAGAGTATGGTGTGTACAGTTTCGCAATCTGAATCAGCTGATGTACCTCTTTGTTGCAGGCGGCTTATGTGAATGCTGAAGCTCAAAAACAGTTGGAGCTGCAGCAACGGCTTCAGCAAGAGCATCTGAAGCGTCAGCAAGAACACATTCTGCAGCAGCAACACAAGATTCAAGAACTCCAGGTGTGATGTTTAACATGAAATGGAAAATAAATATAAGATCTTAGTAGATTTTTTGCAAAGTTTTGTTGATAAACACATCCTGTTATAAAATTACGTTTTGGGGTTCGTTTTGAAATTGTAACGTTTGAATAGGAATTTGATTAATCTTTTCATACATCAATTACCCTGATTTAGAAGAACCTAATCACAGGTGCACTGTGCAGATTAATTTCGTGTTACTTTATGTTCAAAGGAAAATGGATGGATTACCTATGATTTAAGTGACATCTACAGTTAAAATGGTTTCGAAGTAACCTACGTCTTCAGTCGTGTTAAAATAGACGAGAAATTCCAGTTTCAGAATACAAGTGAACTTGTATCTTACATTTTATTATGCATTTTTAAAATCGTGCAGTGCTCAATTTCCAATATGTAAATCGATGCTATGCACTATTTAGTATGTGGCAATGAGAACTTACATATTTTACAAATATATAACGTATTTAGCGTCAAAAATAAAAGTACCTTGTATTAGAATACAAATTAAACTCGCCGTCTGTTTGCTTGGAAAAGGGAATTGATTTTTACACAACGTTCTCCCGGTATCCAAGCTCCTAATAGTTCAACAGTTCCACCACAGACTGCAGCACTCCCCTATCATACTGCCAACTTAACTTTACATCAGTTCACGTCATATTACTCATTATGTATATAAAATAAAGTAATCTGTGTTTTTAACAGTCATGCCTGTTTGTATTATTTAAGTTAAAAAGAATGAATATTGATCATATATCTCTGTTTATTTAAAAATGTTATAAGTTACTTTTCCAAGTAATTGTTAATGCAATATTTGAAATAATACAATTTTTATGGCAGTAAAATTTCACTCACGTGTTATATTAATAGAAGTAGTATGACAGCAGTACACCTTACAATATTCTTGGGTGTCTGGTTAAAACTAAATGTTCCTGTTTCGTGGTGACTGACGCATCTTCAGGTTCATCATCCTCTTCAATGATTTATCATAAGACTTTCGAACACAAAAGACCAGTTGACAAAGACACATTTAACAAAAATACTTTAACATTACGCAAACGTTTGGTTAGAATCGTATAAAAGTTACAGTTCAAATTTATTGCAACTCATGAGGTTTCCTTTTAAAACCCATAAGGTAGCGGAAAATCTAATTTTGATTAAAACTCAGTACATATTTCATGGTTCTTATAAACAAAACAGAATCACCTCGTTGTTGTAAGAAATACGGTTCAAAATTTGTGATTTCCCTAATGAAATATCACTCCTATTACTCATATTGCTTACTAATATGTAAGCAATTTGACAAGCTAATAGAAGAAAGTGTATGTCAGTTTGCTGATACTGTATATTTTTCTTAGTAATCAATACATTTATTGTTGTCTGCAGAACCAGATCTCTTGTGGATATCCGCCGAAGGGGCTTGGACTTACGTCCCCGCAGAGTCTCATGTTTCTGCCATTTCTTGATCAGCTGAGAGGGAACGTCAACTCTTCTCCCTCCACTCCTTCCACCAACACTAACACCTCAGTGTCCGGCTCGTCTGTGAGTATTGGCCCAAAATATACTGAATATAAATATTATAATAAGTACAATCGTTGACTTTGTGTAGTAAAATAATAAACTGTCAACTAGAGGGGCGAGCAGGAAGAAGTATATTCGTTCCCCCAAGAATTTTTCCCAAACAGTGCTTTTGTTGTGTTCCATAGTCGTCTGAACAATAATTTGCGATAGGATTAATTTGGTGAGTCGGTAGCACCACAGACTTAAGGCCCAAGGCAGCAATGTTGTGGATTCAAATCTGGTGGTACATGCCAATTTTAGCCACTGATGGTGGTTAAAAAGTTTGTATTCAACAAAAATCAGTCAGTACTTTACATCAGTGCACTCTGTCAGCTCAGTTTGATTACCATTTTGGTTTTTAAGCTAGCGACAACTTTAACATGGAGATGTATTGTCTTGTATCAATTGTCAAAGTTACTAAGTTGGTTGTTTGTTTCAGATGGCTCCCCCTGTACCTAGTTGGGTGACCTCAGCGCCACCTCCTCGCAGCCCTGTCCCCTCTCCTGCCCCCCCTCCTCAGCCCCCTGCTGATCCTGACGCCCCCCTCAACCTCACCAAACCTAAACACTCGCCCAGTCCTCATCCCGTACAAGAGTCGCCCCTCGGCCCACTAGCTGCTACGGCTCCTAAACTGCTGCCTCCAGGCTTAGTCATGCCCAGGGCGTTTCTACACTATGCAGGCCTTCCACCCCACGTCAACCCCACAGGTATGTATATAAATTCTTCAAATAGACAGGGCAGGGCCATTTTAATAAATGGGTATAGGGTGTGGGTTTGTTGCAGGCACAAGAAAGAGAATAGTTCCCCCACAAGACAAGGAGGGGGCACAATTATCTCTTGAGCCCATAGCGAATCACATGCAAACCGCATCACTGGTGCAGTGTATTCCAAAAAGGACTCAATAGCTTTGACAGCTAACAGAATTCAATAAATTTCTCTTACAGACATTTGAGTGTTATTATTTACTTAAATAATAAATGTTTCCCCATTTTAGCGATATGTGTTTAATCATCGCTTCCATGAGTGATGTTGGATCTTAAACTGTTAGGACAAAATCAATTTTGTACCACATTTACTACAGCATGTCTGAAAATGAACCATATCATTGACAACTAGAGCCTCCATTTCCTTACAAGGGTGTTACAAAAAACCATCATGTTTCATATCAAATGTTGAAAGTACCAAGTTAGGGTTACTTTGCTCGATAATTTAACTAAGATGCGAAATGAAAATAAACTTTTGTTATTGTATATTCATTCTGCATCACCAGTTAATGACATATTGCACATAGTTTTAAGATGAAAAGCTGATTTTTTTGTACATTTTTCACCAAGCTCAAGATAAAGTTGTATAATACTTGTTTAAATACCCTACATACCAGTATTAAACCACGGTGATTAGATTGTTTTGTATTAATTTTAACACTGTGCTATACAAAAACTATATAAGTAAACATTAGTATAAACACTTTAAAAGAACTACTTCAAAGGCTAGGTACAGTAGCTGAGTAGAGTGGTTATAGTTTGTCCTTGGTAATCAGATGGTTCCTGACTCCTTCAGAAATATCAGATGTTTTTTGATTGATTTAAACTGAAATCAGCTGTCCTTTATGATTGAGTGTTTTTAACTCGTCCTGGTTAAAAAGAAACAGCTGTTCTTACCTTCACCTGCATTCATATTTAGAATGAACATTCTCACACAAAGACTAAAACATTTAAGCAAGGACTGTACCTAAATAAAAAATTACCTCCAGAAACGTCTTTAGAAGTTATTTTTTATGTGAGTTTCTATTTCATAATGTGGGCTCCTTTTGTACCCTAGGGTTCACCACACACCGCCTAGGCCAACGGCGGGCTTCTCTAGTAAAAAAAAAAAAAAAAAAAAAAAAAACTATCATACCCAGGTTTTATCCTGTTGTATTTTAGTCAGTTTGCTTTCAGCACTTTTTTCCAAACTGTTATGTCATATTAGTTAAGGATTGTATGTTGGCAAAGTTTTTAATTCAATAAATTTGTTCTAGGCAAACTGAGCATGTCTCCAGGCAAGGATGGAGATAAACTTCCTCCTTACCCGAACCTTCATCTGTACCCTCCCCACCCTCCGCCACCCATCCGGGACGACAGCAAAGAAGAGTCGGACTTCATGGCTGCATGTCACAGTAAGTCGAAGCACAGAGAAAACTTGCTTATTTAACAGTGCCTTTTCAGCTCTAGTATGTTGTGAGGGAAATATACTTGTGACAAGCAAGGAAGAGCCCGAGCAGAGATCACTGTGCGAGAAATTCCCATCACACAGAGCACAGGGTCTTCCTCCACTGTTAGCGTTGTAGTTCATGAGGGCGAGGGGGCGGTGTCGGTTTTTACCCTAGACACCACTTGTACCATTGCATTTTTCCTCTGTATCTAATTTCTCTATGGTCTATATCAAGGCAACACTAAATAAAAAGACAGTAATGCTCCTCTGGCATGACTTCATCATAAGCGACGGCAATGACATAATGTTGACGTTGTTGATCTTGTTGACCATTTGTCTCCTCTGATTAAGGTTATATTTTTGTTTTCCGAGAAAAGATTAAAACAAGCAGCTGATCACAAACGGCAAACATTGTGTCATTGCTGTCCCCTATGATGACGTCATGCCAGAGAGGAGCATATGTACATTGAATTAAGTATAGTGAGGATTTAATTTAAACTGATAAACAAAAACTGACATATACTTTCTCCCATTATCTTATTAACAACCCTTATAATGGGTAAGCAGTGAGAGTAACTGTGATGTTTTAATGGGTAAAATTACAAAAATTGCAATAACTTTTTAATTGTAATTTTTACAGCATTGGGGGTTGAACGATTTTGTTTGGAGTTAAAAGGACCATTACATAATGAGTTTCAATCAAAATCTTTCAAAGTCATATGCTGAAAATTATATGTTTTCGTTACTTCCAGGACGCTTTATCTGCTTTATGTGGTTTATTCCATTAAAAATAAAAAAAATAAGAACTTGCCTGGAGATACTATGGATTAGTACCAACACACCAAATTGCACCATAATCAAACCCCAGGTGTCGTCTGTAGCTCTGTATACATCCACAAAAAACCACAGACCTCATTTTGATTTTTTTTTTTGTTAGGGGAACATAAACTAACTCCACCCAAAACTCTAACTAAAAAAGTTTCAAAATCAATTTTCTATAAGAGTATAGGAGTATACAGAGGTATAAGGGGAGAAAACAAAAAGGTACGTAATTCTAATATGAACACAATTTTTGTTACAGTGTGGGGACCTGATCCTTCCTACAAACTTCAAGATGATAACAATGATAAAGGTAAGTTAAGAAGTATTATATCAATCAAGTTTAGGTACCCTGGTTGTGTTGGTAAATATCCAGAAGTATAGATTGATATCAAATTATCCTTGAAGTATAATTCATTTTGTGTGTCTGTCGAGTCCTGGATAAAATTGCCGGAACAAAAAAACAGGTGAGATAGTCCAAGGCTCCACTAGAAAAAAAGATAATGCTGCAGCGCAACAGTATGTCTCAGTGGTGGATAGTTGCACTAAAGATGCCAGATGTAAACAGCCAGCTATTTACCTAAAACATATGGGATACGGCAGTGAATCTATCCACAAGTGTGACATCATGGATCCTGCAGCATGGCCTGTTTTTCTAATGGGGCCTTGGATATGCCCACGAAATTCAACTCTACAAGGCACCTCACCTAAATTCAGAAAATTTAAAAGCAGAAAACAATTCAAACAACATTTAAAAGCTAGTATTCAATCCCCCCTATAACAAATATGCTACTTTAATGAGTAAACAAAGCCACCTTACTGAAACAAAAATAAGAAACTGTATGTACATGAATTTTTTAAAATGTCTTCTAAGAGAGAAAATTAGAATAGTTTCCATTAGTTGAACGATAAAACAATACGATTGATGTTGCAGCTAAGATGGTGCGTCAGCAGAAGAGAGAGGGGGAAAGCAAACCTCACATCAAGCGGCCGATGAATGCTTTCATGGTCTGGGCGAAGGACGAACGTCGCAAGATACTCAAGGCGTGTCCTGACATGCACAACTCAAACATCTCTAAAATACTGGGTAAGAATAATAAGCTCAAGAATTTGGTTAGTAATAGTATACTTTGTACCAATGGCCGGCCAAAAATGAGGTTTTGCCAGCTTGAGATCATAAAAAAATATTTAGAGGAATCAGCAAAAATAATATTAAATATTTGCTAGGCAGCTGTGACAACAAAACAAGTCTATTGCAATGCATATAATTGGATACAGCTTGTATACATTAATGTTTTAAGTTGCAATGTTAGATGTCATTTACATTCACTAAATGTTTTTGTTTATTTGTTATGGTTTTGTTTATAGCCACTCATTGCCAAATATAATCAGCTGGTGTGTCCGGTAAAAACTCATTACAGTACAGTAGTACGTAATGAAACCCCATTTGATTAAGCTGGTTGCAAACAGCTGTTTTCTGGACTAAATCCTTTCATTGGAAAGTTTGTTAAAACAGTGTCTGTAAATATGATTTACATGTGTATAGAAATATCTAAAGAGACAACAATCTTGCGTTGTTCCAGGAGCGAGATGGAAGGCAATGTCAAACGCAGAGAAGCAGCCATACTACGAGGAGCAGAGCCGATTGTCTAAGCTTCACATGGAGAAGCACCCGGACTACCGCTACAGACCACGACCTAAGCGTACCTGCATCGTTGACGGGAAAAAGATGCGGATATCCGAGTACAAGATGCTGATGAGACAACGACGCAATGAGATGAGACAGCTGTGGTGCCGAGGAGAGGCTGGGCCGTCAGGAGCTCCTGGACCGAGCTTTGGCTTTCCTCCGGACGGATCACTCTCACCTTCGGAGATGCTCAGTTTTACCCCCGGCCATTCGCCCACAGGCATGCACGAGGACGAATGAGCCTTCGACTCATCGACTCACTTCGGAATGTGGTGACAACTCTATATGTGTTAGCTCAAATACAGTAGAACTGAAGCTAATTTACTCATCAGGATTTTTTTATGGGATAAAGATCAGCTCTGATAAATCAGAGGTACACAGTAAAAGTTCGCAAAATATAACATTGCTGTGTCCTCCTAATATAGGACCTCTTCAGAGCGTAGGAGTATAGTGAACCAAAGTGCTGCGGTAACTGATAAACAGATGGAGAGTATGGAATGAAATATAGAGCGATAAAGAATCTATCCTATTATCTGTAGAAGTCCTATATAAAAGAGAAATATCAGCGATACCTTTTGTGGCATTTAACTATGTGTATTTATAGTCCCCAGACTATAATTACTTTTGTCAGTTAAGCTTGTTAAACTTTATCTCTTTTTTAAGAACCCATAGTGCATACCAGAATTACCACAAAGATAAATAATTAGCAATGATGTTTTTGTTTGACTTTGGCTAGCTGTAATTATTTAACAAATGTTAAGTTAAAACCTTTTTCACTGTAAAGCCAGTGAGTGGTTAATTTAAACATTAAAAAATGCTGTATTTTTAATCAACGTTTAATTCCTAACATGTAGTATTGATTTACAAATTAAAAATTAGAACTGTAAAATTAAGTTAATGTACCAGAAATTTTTGTAAGTTTTCAAACATATGTTCTTTCATGTTGTTAAAACTATTTTTTTTTGGAATTTCTAGGTATTTCTTCATATCTGTAATTAATTGTTCCTTGTAGTGAAACAAAATTTTGTGTTTACACGATTTTATAGCCAAGCCTAGTTAAACGATTACAGTTCCGGCCGAGATCCAAGTGATCGCACATCGAAGCAACCAGTGATCATTCCCACCCGATCCGAGAGTGAGTCTGAAACAAGACTGAACAGCAGTGGATATTGTCAAGTGTTTGTCAGCTAGTCTAGCATTTATTTATTGTGTACAATACGAGTGAAAGATAAACATTTTTAAGAATCTTTTTCAAAGATCTCGTGAGAAAATAATATTTATCATCTGAAACTGACGTTTTCTGTTCAAAAGATTTTTCAAGTGGTTTGAAAGATTCCTTTACAGCAAAAATAGCTAAGTAATTTCAAATTCAATCAATTTTCTTATAGCTTTGTTACAAATTATATTTTTACGTTTCGAGATAAGTATTTTTCAATCAACTCTTTAACAGTCCTAGAGAACAGAAGGGTGTCATTTAAGCTAATGATGTTTGTGTACATTTTATTGTTTATTTTGTACATACTCAAGTATTCTAGATCTCAGCGGCATTAGTCTCGTGCGATCTGTTAGTTGGTACCAAAGTCGCAACTGAATTGTTTTTTGTTATTTATTCAGGTCAATGTGAATGCATGTTATCATTATTTGATGTAAGAATATTTTTAGTCTTAGCCTAAATGCATTTGAGATTTTACAGTTTTTCATAAGATTAATATAACTGTTTTAGTATTGTATATAGAAGCCACGCGATTGGTTATTGTGTTAGGTAATGGTTCATATGTAAATCTCGCTATGTAGATACGTGTTTGTAAATATTTCATGTAAATACGCTCTAGTGCCATCTCTGTGATGCCCGGTTTGTCGATATTGTTGATATTTTTTAACGGTTAGTATTTTTACAAACGCATTACTGATATTTATTTACGGTGATTTATGTTCAGGTTTTCACTCGGTAAATATAGTTTAGTTGTAAGTAAAATTTGAGTACAAGAAAAGTTAGTGCTCTTAAGGGATTGCAGAACTGAAATGTATTTCTCGAATTAGTTTCTTTTAAAATATTTTTAACTTTAGGAGTTATTAAAGCACTCCATAATACAATGTATTACAGTATATCTGAGCTATTACATGTAAAGAAAAAGGCGACGTAAGGATCTCAATCTATAACGTTATGAGTGTCATAAGTATCAAAAACTTACAACCTATTTTTATAATTTTCATAATTTGATTTTTTTTATTAATTAAGGTTTTGAAGGAAATTATAAATATTTATCAACATTTTTTATATGAAAAATATTAATTGTCTATCACTGTTCCACGTTTTTTAAATTATGTTATTAAAAATCCAGCTGTTATTGACATACGTAACTTCATTCACTTAGCAATGTAAAAATCTGTTATTAAAGAGTGGGTAGGTTACAATTTGCCATCCTTTATAAAGTTTAAAACTAATTGTATCAATTCTCTTCCTAACTGTTTCAGGATAATAAGGTATAACTTCATTATTTTTTATGTTCAATATATCCTTATTTTCAACCTAGATTTATAAATTGTTTTTACTTAAGAAGATTAGTGATGATATAGACTAAGAAACCCCAAATATTTGTTTTTCATTAATTATAGTTTTTCAATTATTTATTTATAAACTAAAAGGGTCGATTGTTGCAAAGGAATTTGAAGAGTATTTTTTTAACAGCGATGCTGTAAAATAGCATAACTCTGTATTCTCAAAAGTTCCTTAGATCATCACATTATATTTTAGAACACGGTTAAGCTTCGTAATTTATTTGTTCATAGAAAGTTTGTACAACTCATACATAAGATAATTGATGTAACTTTTTATAAATATATATAAATAGATAGCTATTATTTATTGAATTTAAATGCCATTTACCAATGTATTGTTATGTAGCCTTTGTAAATAATAGCAAATCTTCATGTATCAATAAACTGTCTGTTTATACAAATTCATTTTTATTTTATACCTAGTTAAATTAGTGAATTATTTATATAATTACACAATTAGGACTAGAATATTGGTAAGTGTAACTACAGACTATAGACCAATAGACCAATTGGTTCTATAGTCTGTGGTGTAACATAAAATTGCCAGATGAAAGGTTTTAACAATGTAAACTAGAGACAACGGATTTCATGGAAGGAAGAACAAGTTGATATGTGAACATTCAAAACACCAGTACCCATAGTAATCTGTGTTCAACTTTCTCTTACACAATTGTGCACAAATACAAACCCAAATACTGCATTGAGTGAGTTTGTGAGTTTGCAGACATATCACTTACAAGTTAAATATCTAATAGTAGCAGTCTACCAACCTCCATGTAACCAACTTAATGTATTTATTGACAAAATATCTCTATTAGTTGATCTAAAAGGAAAGCATTTAAATATTATAGGTACTCATGGGTGACTTATAAATATCAACCTATCAGACCACTCTCTTTGAACAACAAAGTATTTGGCTTTCCTACCGTCATTGTCATATGGCCTCACTAACATAGTTATAAATTTCACTAGAGAAGTTTCAGGCTCAAAAAATCTAATATACCACAATTTTTTCAGAGGTAACAAAACAGACCAATTAATGAGCCACAAACACTATATAGCTAATAGACAAAACATTAGCCATTCCCAACAGTAGAATCCGAAATAAAACAAATAATTCATCAGTTAAAAACAATATAAGCTCAGGAGCTGATGAAATACCATCAATGAGTTTTCAGACTTCATCATTAATCCTCTAACTCATCTCATAAACCACTTTTTTCTGCATGGACAATTTCCCAATGCACTCAAACTTGCAGTTGTAAATAAGGACAATTATCAAAAGGGGTTACCATACGAAATGTGTTAATTATAGGCCCACTTTTATGCTTCCGAGTTTGTCCAAGATATATGAAAAGGTTGTTTTAGAGAGGCTCTGGGCATTTCCGGAAATAATAATATCATATTCAAAGATCAAGATGGATTTGTCAAAAGGAAAAAAAGTGCAATATTTTCCTTACTGAACCAAGTGTTGCAAGATTTCATTGCAACACTCAATGAACATTTTCTTCGATTTGAGTGGCATTTACATTGGTTGACTATGACCTCCTTCTAGCTAAATTAAATAACATGAGAGTCCGAGGAGTTTCCTCAGAGTGGTTTTTAGTTTTTATTATTTTTAAAAGGAGGGAAACAATGTGATGAAATACAATCCATAGATCACAGATCACACCGGGCTACAAAGTAGATTTAAGTCTTCAGAAACCCCTGTAACGAGAGGTGCGCCTCAGGGATCCGTTCATGTCCCTGTTCTATTCCACCTCTTCATAAATGACCTCCCCTCATTAATAACCTAAGGTAAACTGTGCCTTTTTGCTGATGTTACTTCCCTAGCATTATCCAGCCCTTTCTTAGAGTCACTCTAGCAAATGTCATTCATAGAGGCAAATACCTTGCTTCAGTGGTTTGTTGTTGTCAGAGGCTCTTCAGATACACAATAGAAAAAAAAACTGATTGTTGCCCATTACTGCGCTCAGGAGGGTCAACAATTAACATCGATAATTCTGTAAAATATCTTGGCCTAACCATCAGTGATGACCTGAGATGGCACCAACATATCGGCAATATATCTGCGATACTCACGGCAGTTTGCTATGGTTCGAAGGCTCCAGCCACTCCTGGAAAAAGACGTACTAATGAAGATATATCATGGCTGTTTTCACAGCATCATGAAATATATGATCCTGCTATGGGGAACAGCCCAGCTGCCTAACGAGTACTTCTCCTGCAAAAAAGAATCATAAGATCTATTTTCTCGGAACCATTTCTCGCACACTGTAAGCCATTGTTTGGAGAGGCCAAGGTTCTCACCATGATAGCGCTTTTTATCCTGGAGTCAACACTGAGCGTAAAGAAGAATCCACACCTCTTCCTAAAAAATGCAGCATTCCACAAACTACAACACAAGGCAATGTAAAAATGTCCATATAACCCAGGTAAACTCCACTTGGCCCTAAATTTATGTGCTCCAAGATTTATAACAAGATCTCAAATGAAATAAATAATATTAAAGAAATAGAAAAATTCAAGATTTCACTCAAGGATTATTTATTGGCCATACTACATACTGACATAGTACTTTGAGGATGAATGAAAAGGCCAATATTTTTGACGACCACAGCGCAGGGACGCTTCCAGTGGGAAATCTACAAGTATCAAGTAAGTTGATAACCTCCTGGAAACCAACACTGCAAAGACCCAGGTTATCAACTTTCGAACCTTCATTCATCTTGTACATCAGTCTGTTAAATTCAAAACTTTAGGCATACATATAGATTATTTCATTATAATTCGTACTAATTATAATAATAATTCGTAATAATAATATTCGTAATAATTTTTCATTCGGTTGTTTTTGACAACAGATACGGATTACGGAAGATTACCCATTTTTGGTCTCCGGTAAAAAAATATTCTCTAAAATGAGAGCTCACCTCGTGGTCCAAAAACTCGACCAAAAGTCTGTCTTGTGAAAACTTCTCTATTTTCACCCCACGCTGTAAATAATTAAAACATGTGATTGATATTTCTTCATTTTGTTTTTATTTTCTTTTTTAATTTTTCTTTTATTCAAAGTTAATTTTTAAAATTTCAAATTGCATTTTTCGTGCTTATTTTGGGGCCTATTTTATTTATAATTGGATTCTGGACATATACAGGAAAATATCTTTCATTTGGTACCAACCGCTTGTAATACGGTCCAGTAGTATGGTCAGGCTAGCTTGCAAAAGTTTTTTAGTCCCCAAAATAAGTGGCCGTAATTTTCAAATTGATATCCATATTGAATATTGAAGGATATTTGGCATACTAAACAATGAATTAGAATAATTAGTTGTTTGGTAAAAAAAAAACAACAATTTCAGAAGTTTTATTGCGGACATTTTCCATCACGAATGTAAAAAAACAATACACAACGTTTCGGGATCTGGAATCTGATCCCGTCTTCAGGTGAAAAAACTTAACTAACACATTACAACTAACAATACACAAACGCCCAACCTAAGTTGGAATACACTACCGAGGGTAGTAGTCAAAAAATATGCACTGTATAGCAGTCAAGTCATGATACAACATGCAATTAATAACAAATCACAAAACACTATAATCTATAAAAGGTTTACGTACAAAAAACTCACACAATGGAACACTAACAACACCGTACGCTATGACTCCACCAATGAGACTGAACCAACATGGCTGACCAATCGGAAACACGGAGACAACAAAAATGGCTTCCGGTCCCTGGAAAAGTAAAACCAACAAAATGGCGGAGCGATGTACGATGCCGCAAGATGGGTGTTAATTATGTTTATTCATATCACGAGTTTTACTACGAGTTAACATAACGTGCGAATTTTGAGGAGAATTCGTCATTTCCCTATTTATTGAACAATTAAGTTCCCTATCCTTTAGTTCCTTGTTCAAAATGGGTAGCCAAAGTGGCCTTATTTCAACCGATGACTGACTGATTGGTTGGTCTGCTAATTTAATGTATGAGGCTTCAATGAGTTTACGTTTGAAAAAATGAGGTTCCTTATGGACAATTTTTGCCTCTTCAAAATTCATACGATGATTTTCGGACCAGCAATGATGAGCGATCTTAGATTTTTCCACTAAACCTTTTTTGGTGTTTTCTCTGTGTTCTTTGATTCTAATGTTCAACGGTCTTTTTGTCTCGCCATAGTAAGGCCTGGAACAATCATTGCAATTTATTCTGTAAACACAGTTTTTAGTATCCTGAGTGTCATTTTTGGGTTTTGTTTTGACGAGACTCTGCCTAAGTGTGTTTTGTGTCCTAAATGCTGTTTGCACATTAAATTTCCTAGCAACCCTTCTGATTTTTTCCGACAGTCCTGACACATACGGGATTGACATGTGGACGAGTTTTTCCTTGCGATTTTGTAAAGGTTCACGCGTAGCCCTATCTTTCTTGCATTTGTTTATAATGGATCGAGGGTATCCGTTACTAGCCAAATCCTGTTCTACTTTCTTAATTTCATCCTTTAACTCATCCTGATTGGAGCAAATGCTCTTAGCCCTGTCAAACAGAGAGTAAGCAACCCCCTCCTTGACAGAAATTTGGTGGTTTGATTGAAAGTTTAGATACTGCCCTGTGTGTGTCTTTTTTCTATAAACAGATGTTCTAAGACTGTTCAAATGCTTTTCTACGCACACGTCCAAAAAGGGGAGTTTGTTTTGTGATTCCACCTCCATGGTTAGTTTTATGGAGGATGAAACGCTATTAAGATGCTCTAAAAACTCATTCAATTTATCATCTCCATGAGGGAAAACCACGAAAGTGTCATCGACATATCTCCACCATATCCTCGGTTTGAGCCGAGCTGAAGCCAAAGCTTTTTGCTCAAACTCCTCCATAAAGATGTTGGCAAAGATAGGTGACAATGGTGACCCCATGGCCATACCCTCATCTTGACGGTATAATTTACCCTCTAATTGGAAATAGTTACATTGAGTACACAACTCCAAAAGTTCCATTATGACGTTAACAGGGAGTTTAGTTCTGTTTGCTAAAGTATCGTCGTTTGTGAGACGGGTCTCAATTATTTTTAGGGTTTCCGAAACGGGGACATTCGTAAACAGACTTTCAACATCGAAGCTGACCAGCTTGTCAGTATCAGCCAGTACGATAGATTTAGACTTTTCTACAAAATCTTTGGAGTTTTTGATAAACGAATCAGTGTTTCCTACTAAAGGCTTTAAAATGTCCAGAAGGACTTTAGACAATTCCCTACAAGCAGAATCACGGGAGCTAACTATTGGTCTCAGAGGAACGTTAGGTTTGTGGATCTTAGGTAACCCGTACATGTGTGGAATTTTGGAATGGTGTGGTGTCAACCGAGTCCTTTGTTTGTCGCTAAAAAACTTTTTGTGTTTTCTTAGAGTACTAGCGATTTTACGCTCGAAAGTTTCTGTGGGGTCTTTTTTCAATTGGGTGTATTGGCCAGATTGCAAAGTTTCTAACATTTTTTCTTCGTATGTCACAGTATCAAGAACTACCGTGGCATTCCCTTTATCCGCGGGCAAAATCTTTACAGTACCGTCTTTCCCAAGGACTGATACTGCTTTGGTTTCCTCTTTACTAAGATTAGGTTTAGGAGTAGGAATTTTCTTTAGTAAAATACTAGCTTCACAACGGAACTGATCCCCCTGAGACTCAGGTAACTGAGAAACAGCAGACTCAATCCCTGTCACAAAATCCAGCGTTTTAACTGATTTAGGCACAACGGAAAAATTTAGCCCTCTGCTCAAAACAGAAATCTCAATTGGGTTTAGAACTTTAGAAGACAGATTCACAACTTGGTTTTTTGCATCATCACACTGTGAAATTTGAGTATTCCTATCAATGTTATCGGGAGGTCTGAGATGTTGTAGTTTAGCCTTTTGCCTAGCCTTCACATTTTCCGATTCTTTGTTGAACCTATTTTGTATGCTTTGAAAAATGTTTTGAAAATCAGAACCTATTACTAGTGCCAATTCAGCTTTTTTGTTCTCAATAGAGCTTTTCAGAAGTCTTTTTTCTAAACGGTGGTGTTCAATTCTTTCATTGATTAGAGATTTAGAAGCTAAAGACATTATTTTGCTGGCTTTGAAACTTTTGTAAGGAGGCTTTAGGTAAAAACCTTTAGGTATCAAATTTTCACGTTTGCATTTCACAAGAAAGGTCAAATGGTTTGTGTGATTAGCCAATTTTAAATGCATTTGTTCCAATTCACTTATTTGATTACTTACTCCGGGTCCGTACCGAGAATCAATTCTTTGTTTGAAGTTCATTGTTGGTGATGGTGAGTTAATGTTGTTCAAAGGTTTATTGCGGACATTTTCCATCACGAATGTAAAAAAAACAATACACAACGTTTCGGGATCTGGAATCTGATCCCGTCTTCAGGTGAAAAAACTTAACTAACACATTACAACTAACAATACACAAACGCCCAACCTAAGTTGGAATACACTACCGAGGGTAGTAGTCAAAAAATATGCACTGTATAGCAGTCAAGTCATGATACAACATGCAATTAATAACAAATCACAAAACACTATAATCTATAAAAGGTTTACGTACAAAAAACTCACACAATGGAACACTAACAACACCGTACGCTATGACTCCACCAATGAGACTGAACCAACATGGCTGACCAATCGGAAACACGGAGACAACAAAAATGGCTTCCGGTCCCTGGAAAAGTAAAACCAACAAAATGGCGGAGCGATGTACGATGCCGCAAGATGGGTGTTAATTATGTTTATTCATATCACGAGTTTTACTACGAGTTAACATAACGTGCGAATTTTGAGGAGAATTCGTCATTTCCCTATTTATTGAACAATTAAGTTCCCTATCCTTTAGTTCCTTGTTCAAAATGGGTAGCCAAAGTGGCCTTATTTCAACCGATGACTGACTGATTGGTTGGTCTGCTAATTTAATGTATGAGGCTTCAATGAGTTTACGTTTGAAAAAATGAGGTTCCTTATGGACAATTTTTGCCTCTTCAAAATTCATACGATGATTTTCGGACCAGCAATGATGAGCGATCTTAGATTTTTCCACTAAACCTTTTTTGGTGTTTTCTCTGTGTTCTTTGATTCTAATGTTCAACGGTCTTTTTGTCTCGCCATAGTAAGGCCTGGAACAATCATTGCAATTTATTCTGTAAACACAGTTTTTAGTATCCTGAGTGTCATTTTTGGGTTTTGTTTTGACGAGACTCTGCCTAAGTGTGTTTTGTGTCCTAAATGCTGTTTGCACATTAAATTTCCTAGCAACCCTTCTGATTTTTTCCGACAGTCCTGACACATACGGGATTGACATGTGGACGAGTTTTTCCTTGCGATTTTGTAAAGGTTCACGCGTAGCCCTATCTTTCTTGCATTTGTTTATAATGGATCGAGGGTATCCGTTACTAGCCAAATCCTGTTCTACTTTCTTAATTTCATCCTTTAACTCATCCTGATTGGAGCAAATGCTCTTAGCCCTGTCAAACAGAGAGTAAGCAACCCCCTCCTTGACAGAAATTTGGTGGTTTGATTGAAAGTTTAGATACTGCCCTGTGTGTGTCTTTTTTCTATAAACAGATGTTCTAAGACTGTTCAAATGCTTTTCTACGCACACGTCCAAAAAGGGGAGTTTGTTTTGTGATTCCACCTCCATGGTTAGTTTTATGGAGGATGAAACGCTATTAAGATGCTCTAAAAACTCATTCAATTTATCATCTCCATGAGGGAAAACCACGAAAGTGTCATCGACATATCTCCACCATATCCTCGGTTTGAGCCGAGCTGAAGCCAAAGCTTTTTGCTCAAACTCCTCCATAAAGATGTTGGCAAAGATAGGTGACAATGGTGACCCCATGGCCATACCCTCATCTTGACGGTATAATTTACCCTCTAATTGGAAATAGTTACATTGAGTACACAACTCCAAAAGTTCCATTATGACGTTAACAGGGAGTTTAGTTCTGTTTGCTAAAGTATCGTCGTTTGTGAGACGGGTCTCAATTATTTTTAGGGTTTCCGAAACGGGGACATTCGTAAACAGACTTTCAACATCGAAGCTGACCAGCTTGTCAGTATCAGCCAGTACGATAGATTTAGACTTTTCTACAAAATCTTTGGAGTTTTTGATAAACGAATCAGTGTTTCCTACTAAAGGCTTTAAAATGTCCAGAAGGACTTTAGACAATTCCCTACAAGCAGAATCACGGGAGCTAACTATTGGTCTCAGAGGAACGTTAGGTTTGTGGATCTTAGGTAACCCGTACATGTGTGGAATTTTGGAATGGTGTGGTGTCAACCGAGTCCTTTGTTTGTCGCTAAAAAACTTTTTGTGTTTTCTTAGAGTACTAGCGATTTTACGCTCGAAAGTTTCTGTGGGGTCTTTTTTCAATTGGGTGTATTGGCCAGATTGCAAAGTTTCTAACATTTTTTCTTCGTATGTCACAGTATCAAGAACTACCGTGGCATTCCCTTTATCCGCGGGCAAAATCTTTACAGTACCGTCTTTTCGTCGTCCACATGTCAATCCCGTATGTGTCAGGACTGTCGGAAAAAATCAGAAGGGTTGCTAGGAAATTTAATGTGCAAACAGCATTTAGGACACAAAACACACTTAGGCAGAGTCTCGTCAAAACAAAACCCAAAAATGACACTCAGGATACTAAAAACTGTGTTTACAGAATAAATTGCAATGATTGTTCCAGGCCTTACTATGGCGAGACAAAAAGACCGTTGAACATTAGAATCAAAGAACACAGAGAAAACACCAAAAAAGGTTTAGTGGAAAAATCTAAGATCGCTCATCATTGCTGGTCCGAAAATCATCGTATGAATTTTGAAGAGGCAAAAATTGTCCATAAGGAACCTCATTTTTTCAAACGTAAACTCATTGAAGCCTCATACATTAAATTAGCAGACCAACCAATCAGTCAGTCATCGGTTGAAATAAGGCCACTTTGGCTACCCATTTTGAACAAGGAACTAAAGGATAGGGAACTTAATTGTTCAATAAATAGGGAAATGACGAATTCTCCTCAAAATTCGCACGTTATGTTAACTCGTAGTAAAACTCGTGATATGAATAAACATAATTAACACCCATCTTGCGGCATCGTACATCGCTCCGCCATTTTGTTGGTTTTACTTTTCCAGGGACCGGAAGCCATTTTTGTTGTCTCCGTGTTTCCGATTGGTCAGCCATGTTGGTTCAGTCTCATTGGTGGAGTCATAGCGTACGGTGTTGTTAGTGTTCCATTGTGTGAGTTTTTTGTACGTAAACCTTTTATAGATTATAGTGTTTTGTGATTTGTTATTAATTGCATGTTGTATCATGACTTGACTGCTATACAGTGCATATTTTTTGACTACTACCCTCGGTAGTGTATTCCAACTTAGGTTGGGCGTTTGTGTATTGTTAGTTGTAATGTGTTAGTTAAGTTTTTTCACCTGAAGACGGGATCAGATTCCAGATCCCGAAACGTTGTGTATTGTTTTTTTACATTCGTGATGGAAAATGTCCGCAATAAACCTTTGAACAACATTAACTCACCATCACCAACAATGAACTTCAAACAAAGAATTGATTCTCGGTACGGACCCGGAGTAAGTAATCAAATAAGTGAATTGGAACAAATGCATTTAAAATTGGCTAATCACACAAACCATTTGACCTTTCTTGTGAAATGCAAACGTGAAAATTTGATACCTAAAGGTTTTTACCTAAAGCCTCCTTACAAAAGTTTCAAAGCCAGCAAAATAATGTCTTTAGCTTCTAAATCTCTAATCAATGAAAGAATTGAACACCACCGTTTAGAAAAAAGACTTCTGAAAAGCTCTATTGAGAACAAAAAAGCTGAATTGGCACTAGTAATAGGTTCTGATTTTCAAAACATTTTTCAAAGCATACAAAATAGGTTCAACAAAGAATCGGAAAATGTGAAGGCTAGGCAAAAGGCTAAACTACAACATCTCAGACCTCCCGATAACATTGATAGGAATACTCAAATTTCACAGTGTGATGATGCAAAAAACCAAGTTGTGAATCTGTCTTCTAAAGTTCTAAACCCAATTGAGATTTCTGTTTTGAGCAGAGGGCTAAATTTTTCCGTTGTGCCTAAATCAGTTAAAACGCTGGATTTTGTGACAGGGATTGAGTCTGCTGTTTCTCAGTTACCTGAGTCTCAGGGGGATCAGTTCCGTTGTGAAGCTAGTATTTTACTAAAGAAAATTCCTACTCCTAAACCTAATCTTAGTAAAGAGGAAACCAAAGCAGTATCAGTCCTTGGGAAAGACGGTACTGTAAAGATTTTGCCCGCGGATAAAGGGAATGCCACGGTAGTTCTTGATACTGTGACATACGAAGAAAAAATGTTAGAAACTTTGCAATCTGGCCAATACACCCAATTGAAAAAAGACCCCACAGAAACTTTCGAGCGTAAAATCGCTAGTACTCTAAGAAAACACAAAAAGTTTTTTAGCGACAAACAAAGGACTCGGTTGACACCACACCATTCCAAAATTCCACACATGTACGGGTTACCTAAGATCCACAAACCTAACGTTCCTCTGAGACCAATAGTTAGCTCCCGTGATTCTGCTTGTAGGGAATTGTCTAAAGTCCTTCTGGACATTTTAAAGCCTTTAGTAGGAAACACTGATTCGTTTATCAAAAAACTCCAAAGATTTTGTAGAAAAGTCTAAATCTATCGTACTGGCTGATACTGACAAGCTGGTCAGCTTCGATGTTGAAAGTCTGTTTACGAATGTCCCCGTTTCGGAAACCCTAAAAATAATTGAGACCCGTCTCACAAACGACGATACTTTAGCAAACAGAACTAAACTCCCTGTTAACGTCATAATGGAACTTTTGGAGTTGTGTACTCAATGTAACTATTTCCAATTAGAGGGTAAATTATACCGTCAAGATGAGGGTATGGCCATGGGGTCACCATTGTCACCTATCTTTGCCAACATCTTTATGGAGGAGTTTGAGCAAAAAGCTTTGGCTTCAGCTCGGCTCAAACCGAGGATATGGTGGAGATATGTCGATGACACTTTCGTGGTTTTCCCTCATGGAGATGATAAATTGAATGAGTTTTTAGAGCATCTTAATAGCGTTTCATCCTCCATAAAACTAACCATGGAGGTGGAATCACAAAACAAACTCCCCTTTTTGGACGTGTGCGTAGAAAAGCATTTGAACAGTCTTAGAACATCTGTTTATAGAAAAAAGACACACACAGGGCAGTATCTAAACTTTCAATCAAACCACCAAATTTCTGTCAAGGAGGGGGTTGCTTACTCTCTGTTTGACAGGGCTAAGAGCATTTGCTCCAATCAGGATGAGTTAAAGGATGAAATTAAGAAAGTAGAACAGGATTTGGCTAGTAACGGATACCCTCGATCCATTATAAACAAATGCAAGAAAGATAGGGCTACGCGTGAACCTTTACAAAATCGCAAGGAAAAACTCGTCCACATGTCAATCCCGTATGTGTCAGGACTGTCGGAAAAAATCAGAAGGGTTGCTAGGAAATTTAATGTGCAAACAGCATTTAGGACACAAAACACACTTAGGCAGAGTCTCGTCAAAACAAAACCCAAAAATGACACTCAGGATACTAAAAACTGTGTTTACAGAATAAATTGCAATGATTGTTCCAGGCCTTACTATGGCGAGACAAAAAGACCGTTGAACATTAGAATCAAAGAACACAGAGAAAACACCAAAAAAGGTTTAGTGGAAAAATCTAAGATCGCTCATCATTGCTGGTCCGAAAATCATCGTATGAATTTTGAAGAGGCAAAAATTGTCCATAAGGAACCTCATTTTTTCAAACGTAAACTCATTGAAGCCTCATACATTAAATTAGCAGACCAACCAATCAGTCAGTCATCGGTTGAAATAAGGCCACTTTGGCTACCCATTTTGAACAAGGAACTAAAGGATAGGGAACTTAATTGTTCAATAAATAGGGAAATGACGAATTCTCCTCAAAATTCGCACGTTATGTTAACTCGTAGTAAAACTCGTGATATGAATAAACATAATTAACACCCATCTTGCGGCATCGTACATCGCTCCGCCATTTTGTTGGTTTTACTTTTCCAGGGACCGGAAGCCATTTTTGTTGTCTCCGTGTTTCCGATTGGTCAGCCATGTTGGTTCAGTCTCATTGGTGGAGTCATAGCGTACGGTGTTGTTAGTGTTCCATTGTGTGAGTTTTTTGTACGTAAACCTTTTATAGATTATAGTGTTTTGTGATTTGTTATTAATTGCATGTTGTATCATGACTTGACTGCTATACAGTGCATATTTTTTGACTACTACCCTCGGTAGTGTATTCCAACTTAGGTTGGGCGTTTGTGTATTGTTAGTTGTAATGTGTTAGTTAAGTTTTTTCACCTGAAGACGGGATCAGATTCCAGATCCCGAAACGTTGTGTATTGTTTTTTTACATTCGTGATGGAAAATGTCCGCAATAAACCTTTGAACAACATTAACTCACCATCACCAACAATGAACTTCAAACAAAGAATTTCAGAAGGTATTGCCATACAACAGATACACTTATCAATCAAGGATTTTTAAAACCACATACAATCCCATCAACGTAAAATTATACAATAGCCTACATTTTCCTGTGAACAAACAAGGCAAATTGGTAAAAAAATCCAAAATTAGTAGAAAAAGATCTTGATCTTCTGGAGTGACGTTCACGTGTTACCGCCATTATAGCAAGTAATGGATTGGAGTGCTTCAAGGTTCCACCCCATTCAACAAACCGCAAAATCCAAGGTGGCGGGTTAACGTGGTGGCTCCTTGTCGGGGTGGCACCTAGACGGGATACGCCACGGCCACCTTTAACTACAGGCCGCGGCTTGGTAGAATTGGCAACGTCGCAAGTGGTGGTGTTTGGTGACAGACGTTCCATGAGATAACATGGCAGACAGGTGACATCAGCTCATTAATTCGCAATTTATTGATTTAAATTTAAATTTATGAACATACATTTATTAAAATATTGAAAATAAAACATACAGAATTGAAAACTGAAACAATATGAATTAAAAATCTATATCTGTACATTTTAAGTGGAGTCAATATTGTCATAGTCCAATAACCAATATTTCGTAAATTATTAGCGGCTTCCAAACAAAACAGCTGTTACAACACCACTTGCGACGTTGCCACTTCGAAGGCCGCGGCCTGGAGTTAAAGGCGGCCGTGGATACGCGCGACATCCCACCACCTCGAATAAAATGTGT